GCTATGGAAGGGAGTTGAGGGCGGAGGAAGGGGCCCCTGCTTTGAAAATACTGTGTGTGCTGTGGGGTGGGAAAGCTACTCTCACCTCATTGTCTCTACAGGAGCTGATGGGGGGCAGCTGGAAATACTGCTGTGGAATTGAGATAGGTTCCAGGAAGCTGCACTTGGTCTAGAGGTGCCTTACAGTCCTTTGCTGACTGGTAATGGCCCAGAGCAGCCCTGATTCTGAGGGGCTATCATGGATGTCCCTGGGGCACGTGTTGGGACAAAGTGGGAATCTGTTGAACTGGATTCTTCTCTGGCTCTTCTGGTGATGACTGGGCATTGGCAGGGGGATCAAACTTCATCCCCCAAACTTCATTACAGGAGCTGTCACTCTCTTACTGGCTCTTCCTCTAAGTGGTCCCTGCGTGGTGTGGGAGAGCAGCAAGGCCCAGAGCTCCGTTATGTTTACCCATTTCACTATGACCATCTTGAGATTGTTCCCAAAACAATGTCATGATCAAACTGCATCAAAAGCCCTGGGGAGTCAAACACTATCCTGAAATGGCAGCTGAGCCCAAACGCCACTCCGAGGGCCCCTCTCTCTGGCTCTGGTCCTACAGGGAGTCCCTTCCCTACGTGAGTGAGGCAGGGAGTCTCCTGCTCTTAGTGTTAGACCTGAATAACTCTGTTCCTGTGTATTTAGACCTGGACCTGCTGTGCTTATCCCACTTCTGCCAGAGCATATTGCAGCCAACTCCTCTCCCTCTTCCTGTATCTGTCAACTACCATCCTTCAGGCTCCTCCCTGTCTAGCTTCTTCTCCAACTGAGTCTCTCATTTCCGGTCCTCAAAACTTCTCAACCTCATCCGTGATGATTAAGGAATATAGGGATGGAAGGGACCTCCTGAGTCATCAAGTCCAATCCTCTGCTATGGCAGGCAACCCCATCATATAATCCCCTTCATAAATGTACCAACCTCCAATTTAAAACTAGTTAGGTTGTTTGCACCCACTTTTCCTATGGGGAGGCTGTTCCAGAAACACACTCCTCTGATGGTTAAAAGTCTTCTTCTGTTATCCAGTCTAAATCTATTCATGACCACTTTATACCTATGTGTTCCTGTAACAACATCGTCCCTTAGTTTACTCCTATGATTTTTAGAGTGCAATCATATGCCCTTTGAGCCTGCTTTTGCTACACTACACAAGCCAAGATCTCCCAGTCTCCTCTTGTAAGGTAGGCTCTCCATTCCCCTGATCATCCTAGTAGCCCTTCTTTGAACCTGTTCCAGTTTGAATGAAGCTTTCTTGAACATGAGTGACCAGAACTGTAAGCAGTATTCCAGATGAGGTCTTACTCGTGCCATGTACAATTATATTAATGCTTCCCGATCTCTATTCTACATGGAAGACTGCAGCAGAGAACTGGAGGAGAAAGCTGCAGCACTTGCAAATATTTTTGGACCAGGAACAGAACAGAGAAACCAGAGAGGGCAAGATCCTTCACACTACTATACGTGGCAAGCCCAGGGGCATGGGGGATGCACAGTATAAGTCAGCGAAAGCATGAATGGGGCTGCAAACTGCTAGACAAAGGTCATTAAAAATGTCAAGAACACAGAACCACACTGAAATGTTACTTGATAAAGACACATTTTCTTTAAAGGGAAACTAACTGCCAGATAAGATAACTGATCATTATGTTTTAAACCTGTGTAATAAGGCTAAATGATGTGAACAATTAACAGGCTAATGAGAACCCAGATTATTTCTGGTATAACTGATAACCAGTTCAAAGCAAAGTTATTGCAAGAAATTGACTTGAATTTGCAAAGGTTTGATACTTGTGAAAACCAAGCTTCCCAACTTCAAGAGGGAAAGAGAACTGAAGTGCCTCTAATTATAAATGCAGTCCATGCATAAAGACAGACTGCAAGGATAAGCAAATAACAAAAATCAAATATGTTTGCAACACAGGCGGAGGCAATTGCAAAACAACCCAAAGACAGCTAGCAAAAAGGGTGTGATAAATGTGCTGTGAAAGCAACCATTTAGCAAAAGTGCATCTCTCGCCGCACAAGTTGCAAAGAAATACAAAAGCAGAATGCGTGCCCGAATATAAGACTGGAGAACAAAGCTCTGACGAGGATGCAGAAGACTGCTGGGTCTTCTCATACCACTACAAAGCCAGGTTCCACAACAGATGGGCTTGTGGCTTTGGCAATAAATCAACAAAAAATGCATTTCAGAATACATACTGGAGCGGACTGCAAAATAATCACAGTAGGCATGTTCAAAAGGGTTAGTGACTGCCCAACGTTAAAATCCAAATCTAAGGTTCTCCCATAAAGCAGTGACCACACCATTCCACGTGTCGAAGCCACACTGGCAAGTCTGTTACAGATACCAGTTTGAAGTAATGGAACAGGGAGTCCCATGAATGCTTGAGTTGAAAAGCAACCTGCAAAATGCAGATAATCAAATGGGGGTATAACTTGCCTGTTGAATGGGATGCAAAAGATGTTCTTAAAGAACTTGGTAAGCTGTTTAACAGACTGGGATATAACCCACCTCACTGATATAAATCTGAGCATGCTGCCAAAAAGACAGACACCATGAAAAGCCCCATTAGCATCAAGAAGTAAAAAGATGAGCTTGGCCAGATGGTAAATTAAGATGTTATAGGGTTACCAGGCTAGTCAATGCTCTCAAGTTGCAGTGGGGGAGATCTAGGTTGGATATTAGGAAACACTTTCACTAGAAGAGTGGTGAAGCACTGGAATGGGTTACCTAGGGAGGTGGTGGAATCTCCATCCTTAGAGGTTTGTAAGGCCTGGCTTGACAAAGCCTTTGCTGGGATGATTTAGTTGGGGATTGGTCGTGCTTTGAACAGGGGATTGGACTAGATGACCTCCTGAGGTCTCTTCCAACCCTAATATTCTATGATTCTATACAACTAAATCAGTCAAGGATCTGAATAGCTCCAAAAGATTCTACTATGGCCATCAAAGACGATCAGTATCCCACGAGAACAGCTGAGGAGGTCATATCTAGATTTTAAACTGGAAATGTATTTTCAAATTTGGATGCAAGCCAAGTGTTTTGGCCGGTCCATCTTGCTATGGCAAGGGCAAAACTCTGCACTTTAAACTCCCTTTTTCTAGATATATGTTTTAGTGACTTCCATTCGGGGTGCCTGAGGGAGGAATGGGGTGGGAAAATGAACATTGAGGGTGAACGGGTCTGATCCAAAGCCCATTTGAAGTAATTGATTTCCATTAGATTAGGTCCAATACCAGGAAGAATGAGATTTAGAAACTTGTTCAATAGGCTCCCCATGGAACTGCTACAAGCCCCATCAATTTAGTTATTTAACACTAGACCCTGAGGACACTGGGGGAAACAATCCTATACTCACAGTAATGTTGGTCTGGCAGGGACCTCGAGAGGTCATCTGGTCCAGCCCCCTGCACTTAGGTAGTTCCAGGTAAACCTAGACCAGTGGTTTCCAAACTTCTTTTTCTGGCGACCCAGTTGAAGAAAATTGTTGATGCCTGTGACCCAATGGAGCTGGGGATGATGGGTTTGGGATGTGGGAGGCGCTCTGGGCTAGGGCAGAGGGTTTGGGTGTGGGGGTGAGGGCTGCGGGGTGGGGCTGGGAATGAAGGGTTCAGGGTGTGGGAGGGGGCTCTGGGCTGGGGCGGGGGTTGGAGTGCGGGAGGGGATCAGGGCTCTGGGCTGGGGGTGCAGGCTCTGGGGTGGGGCTGGGGATGAGGGGTTTGGGGTGCCTGTCCTGGCATCGTGGACTGCGCTGTGCCCCGGAAGCAGCCAGCAGCAGGTCCGGCTTCTAGGCGGAGGCGCGCAAGCAGCTCCCCATGGCTCTCGCCCACAGGCACCACCCCACAGCTTCCATGGGCAGGTTCCCGGCCAGTGGGAGTGCGGACCCAGGCGGATGCCCCCCCTGCCTAGGAGCTAGACCTGCTGCTGGCCACTTCTGGGGTGCAGCGCGGTGTCAGAACAGGTAGGGACTTGCCTGCTTTAGCCGGGCAGCACCGCCGACGGGACTTTTAATGGCCCAGTCGGCGGTGCAGACCAGAGCCGCCACGACCCAGTCCCTTCCATTCCGTGACCCAGTACTGGGTCGCGGCCCACAATTTGAAAACCGCTGACCTAGACCATCCCTGACAGGTGTTTGCCTAACCTGTTTTTACAAACATCCAATCATGGAGATTCCCCCAGCCTCCTTTGGAAGCCTGTTCCAGTGCTGAACTACCCTTAGAAAGTTTTTCCTAATATCTGACCTTAATCTCCCTTGCTGCAGATTAAGCCCAGTACTACTTGTCCTACCTTCAGTGGACACGGAGAACAATTGATTACTGTCCTCTTCCTAACAATTTATTATGAATTAAGAGACAGTTAGCATGTCCAGCCACAGCCTTCTTTTCTCTCGATTAAACATGCCCTTCTTTCAACCCTTCCTGCACGGGGAAAGTGCGACCTTTTCCATCCCTGATGTTTATGATTTGGTGGTAAAAGATATATTTGTGGAATATTTGTATTATGGTCTGTCTTGGCTGTCTACCACTTACATTTTTTCTGACTTCATGCTGATTTATAGCAGGCTAGCACTGGTTATAATATAAAGAGTGGTTTCAGAGTAACAGCCGTGTTAGTCTGTATTCGCAAAAAGAAAAGGAGGACTTGTGGCACCTTAGAGACTAACCAATTTATTTGAGCATGAGCTTTGGTGAGCTACAGCTCACTTCATCGGATGCATGCCGTGCCCGGCATGCATCCGATGAAGTGAGCTGTAGCTCACCAAAGCTCATGCTCAAATAAATTGGTTAGTCTCTAAGGTGCCACAAGTCCTCCTTTTCTTTTTGCGAATATAAAGAGTAAATGTGTCGGAGTTTAGGACCCAGAGATATTTTTCAGACTTACAGGCTGTGACAGCTGACTGAAAATCAATGAAGCGTACTTTAAAAAGCTTCCTAGTGATGCAAGATTAGGCTTGGAATGCACTATCCTTCTTTGCAGACACTCTTATCCTTCATGCTTTCTAGTTAGTTTGTGTTAACCCATTTCTAGGCTGGACTGTGTTCGCTTGTGAAAACAAAAGCTGCCATGCTGCTGCTCCTAGATCTGACTATGGTGCCCCTCATTCTTTGCGTTAGCAACTCAGGTAAGTGCGATTTCTTCCTTTCCCACGGTCAACATCAGAAATGCAGATCTCTGTCTGTAACACAGGTCGGTGTCTGCTTGCTGAAGTTAGGCATTAGCATTCATTCTTCTAATATTTATTCTACTTTCTTTTAAAACAACTTTGACTTGTAAAACATGGTTATACTTGTTCCTACATTTAAAAGCCTTTTAGACATGAGGCAATGAAGTTACTGGTAGATATTACTGGAGCAGAGGAGAAATGAAGAGTAACTAAAATAGCAGAGCCACTTTCTACTCAGAAAGGTGCATCTTGGGTTTAGTGCCCAATCCCACAAAATATTTGACAGTTGAGAAGAAAAGTAGTGTTTTTATGAGTGTGTGAGGGAGAGAGAGAGAGAGAGAATGATGCTAAAGAAGAGACAATCCCCAGCATTGAGTGGAACACCTAGCCGCTCAAGTGAAAAGACGAAAGGCAAAAGGTACCGTTTGTGTATTTCTTCCAGTGCACATCATGTGTAGAAAGCTCCCTCCACCACCAATGCCAGAGCTTTTTCTATTCATTTATCAACTCTTTTGCCAGTAGGATCAGAAACCACAAACCACTATAAACGAGGAAAAGTTAAGGAGGGGAGATATTAAGTGGTATGGCAAGCGTGATGAATTCATCGTACACACAATAAATGTGGTGATGAGCACTGAAACTTACACACACACGAATCAATGACATTGGAGATGGGTCTGACCTACAGCTTCTGATAATCTTGTTCATCTTTCTTCAAGGGCAACGTCGCTTCTTTCAGTGTATTCCCCACTGCTTCATCTAGTCTTGTTGTAAAAGATTCTAGCCTAAAGTCTTCTCACATTTCTTTGGGGAGATGAGATCATGGCAGAACAGACCTCACTGGAAGGACTTTTTCCCAGCTATTCAGCCTACATGTTTTCTGTACTCAGTTTTACTCCATTTCTCTTAGTTCCCTAAACAGCCTTTTTCCTTCTTTAGGGCTTTAGGGATGCCTGTTAGGCACAGCCTGGAGGAGGGGGCCCCGCAATACCTGGAGACATTTTGTAGAGAGTAGCCCTTGCACCAGGATGAGCATGCCTGTGATTTTATGGGATGCAGACTGCTCACCCCATGCCTATGGAGGGGGCAGGGCCATAGCATTGCCTCTTCCTTGCCCCCCTCTCCTGCTGTGCTTTTAATAAATTTAATACATTTGGGGACCAATTTATTCCCAGTGGATAACTGATGTCACCATTTACACCACAGCTGAATTTGGCCCGATCGATCTTTCGTGGCTCTGTTTCTGGGGACCCCACTTCTTTCCTTTCTGCATCTCCTCTATTGATCATGCTCTTCAAGGCTCAACATAATCCAGCTGTAAGAATCATCCCACCCAGTTTCCATTATGCCTCCCAGATCGGAGTCAGGGCCCATGTACTCTGTGACATAGGTTCTATGAAAACTGCTTCCTCTTCTCTACTGATTCTGTGGCATAGGGACATTTCTGAGCCAGCTTCAGGGGCGGGTTGTATTACATTAAATCAGGAAAGGGATAAGGGATGTTGTTCATTATTTTCCAGTTAAATCTAACACACTTCCCAGGTTTGGGATGTTTTCTGGTTTACGGCCTCCCCCAGGTTGTCCCTCTGCTCGGAGATTTTGCTGGCAATGCACCACTGCAGCATTTGTCAGGGGAAAGCTGGAGGGCTGGGCAGCTAGAGACTCTGGTCCCTGGGAACAGTGGGAGGCAGTTTGGGTTTGGGGCACTCCGATTCAATGAGGCTTTTGGCAGCGGGCATGGGAAAGGGAGTGAGCAGGCATTTGGAGGAGAGGGCTTGACATTGTAGAGGTAGAGTCTAGTCCTTACTCCAGCATACGGTGGTGGGGCCAGCCAGCTGGGGATGAGCATGGTGAAATGCCCTGGTAGCATAGAGACAGCTACACCAGCTAAATACCACTTTCTCTCCCTCAACAGGGAGGGGAGTCATGCCAGGGGCAGCAGGGAGTGCAGTGATCTGGACGGAGAGAGCTGTATGGGGAGAGAGAGACTGGTGTGTTCCAGAACTTCCTAGCTGGTGTAACAGCCCATAGGGGCTGTTACAAACTGGCAAAACTTAGAGCAGCCCAGAGGCTGCTCTAAATTGTACCTGTGTGTGTGTGTGCACCAAACTGGCTCCTTTGTCTCAGTGCAGAGAAGGTGGAAAAGTGGCCAAAAGCCACCTGGTCCATGTATCGTCATCCCCATCGCCCCCCCCCCCCCGTCAACTGTGCTCTGTCTCCTGAACCAGCTTCTCCGCTCCAGCTCCATATCCATATCCATATCCAATAATGAAGGACAGGCACAGGAGCTGGGAAGTTTCTGCTCAGAATCGGCAGTGAAACAGTCAACAGCGTTACCATGTTGCAGTGTTATTGTTAGGCTCCAGAGTCAAGAACCTACCTGAGATGAATGGGGCATTTCCCATCCTCACAGGCTCTGAAGTTGTAGATGTAGGATGAGTGTTACATGGGTATATGTCCAGTTCCAGGCTGGGAGTAACCACAAAGGTTAGAAAATGGATTTGTTTATGTGAAAGCTCAGATCCGGGAGCATGTTTCTGCTGCAGCTGGTTCCTAGGCCTTACTTGCCCTCACCCTAGCCTTATTCCCAGCACACCCTGTCCATTGGCCTCACACACATGTATAAGCAGAGATTCCAGTCTATTCATATGTGTTTGCTGCAGGGCGTTACTATCTTCCGCCTCCAGATTGCACTGTGAGTGCACTGCCAGGCTCTGGGATGGAAGGGAATCCGCTCCCTCTCCCTTTGTTTAGATGCTACCTAACGAACGCTGACAGGTCAAACTGGAGACTGCCGCACCGCCTGCTTCAGTGGAAGGTGTTGTGTAATCAGCACCTTTAATCCAGTGACCACTGACTGGCTAGCCGCCCTGAAAGGACTCCCTTTTCCGTATCAGCCGCGGGGTACGGACATTGCCCTGCTGAAATGTCTCTGATGTCTAGGGAGTATTTCCTGACAATCACAGCCCAGATGGGCCTGGCTGCAGCATGAATTCTCAGGGTGGCGCCTCCTCCCAGTCTCGTGCGCCTTATAGGAGGCCAGGCGCTTCAGCAGCTCAGCCCCCGGCCGGCCGGCCACGCACCCACCCACGCACCCAGCGGGCGCTCTGGAGGAGCCTGCTGCACGCCGGGCGAGCCGAGCTCCAGCTTTCGGTTCAGCCCCCGGCCGGCCGGCCACCCACCCACCCAGCGGGCGCTCTGGAGGAGCCTGCTGCACGCCGGGCGAGCCGAGCTCCAGCTTTCGGTTCAGCCCCCGGCCGGCCGCCCACCCACCCACCCAGCGGGCGCTCTGGAGGAGCCTGCTGCACGCCGGGCGAGCCGAGCTCCAGCTTTCGGCTCAGGCAGTAGATCTACCGGCTCCAGGCAGGGGCGGCGAGTTCGACCTCCACCTGGTGCCTTAGCACCGGCAATATCCAGGGCCCAGGGGCCCGGCGTCCCCCCGACCCCCCCTGCCGCCCCTCCGCGCGCCTCCCCGGGCCCTGGGGCGGAGCGTCCCGGCCCCTGCCCTGCCCAGCAGCTCCATGCTGCCTCCCTGCAGCAACTGCAGGGTCCTAGTGCCCCCAACCCCCTGCCAGGGCAGACTGACTGAGCCTGCCCTTCCCCCTCACACCTTCCCTTTTCCGGCGGGACCCGCCGCCTGCAGTCACCGCTCCTGCCCCATGCTGGGCAAGGGGCAGCCCCATCCCTCGCCCCCAGGCAGGGGCAACAGCAGGGGAGGAGGCGCACGCAGCACCCCCCGGCACCCACCACGGGGGAGGCGAGGGAGATTCCTGGGCCCGAGAGGGGCCCTAGGAGCACATGCAGGGACAGTGGTGGGGGTGAGTGTGCTGCTGGGGGGGCGGGAAAGGGGGGCTCCTCCCCCAGAGCTCGCTGCTGCTGGCAGGGAAAGGGCTGGGGAGAGTCCTCCTCTCTGGCCCCTGTCCCGGAGCAGCCTGTCTGCACCCCAAACTCATCCCCAGCCCTGCCCCACCCCCGAGCCCACACCCCCAGCCAGAGCTTTCACTCCCCACCGCACCCTCTGCCCCAGCCCTGAGCCCCCTCCAACACCCCAAACACCTTATCCCCAGTCCCAACCAGAGCCCTCATCCCCCCACACCCCAACCCTCTGCCCCAGCCCTGAGCCCCCTCCAACACCCCAAACACCTTATCCCCAGTCCCAGCCAGAGCCCTCATCCCCCCACACCCCAAACCTCTGCCCCAGCCCTGAGCCCCCTCCAACACCCCAAACACCTTATCCCCAGTCCCAACCAGAGCCCTCATCCCCCCACACCCCAACCCTCTGCCCCAGCCCTGAGCCCCCTCCAACACCCCAAACACCTTATCCCCAGTCCCAACCAGAGCCCTCATCCCCCCACACCCAACCCTCTGCCCGAGCCCCTCCAACACCCCAAACACCTTATCCCCAGTCCCAACCAGAGCCCTCATCCCCCCACACCCAACCCTCTGCCCCAGCCCTGAGCCCCCTCCAACACCCCAAACACCTTATCCCCAGTCCCAGCCAGAGCCCTCATCCCCCCACACCCCAACCCTCTGCCCCAGTCCTGAGCCCCCTCCAACACCCCAAACACCTTATCCCCAGTCCCAGCCAGAGCCCTCATCCCCCCACACCCCAACCCTCTGCCCCAGCCCTGAGCCTCTCTAACCCCCGAAACCCCCCAGCCCCAGACAGACCCCTCATCCCCCCACACTCCTACTCTCACTCTGAGCCCCTCCCACACCACAAACCCCTCATCTCCAGCCCCAGCCAGAGCCCTCATCCCCCCACACTCCAACCCTGAGCCCCCTCCAACACCACAAACCCCCTCATCTCCAGCCCCAGACAGAGCCCTCATTCCCCTGCCCTCCAACCCTCTACCCCAGCCCTGAGCCTCTCTAACCCCCAAAACCCCCCAGCCCCAGACAGAGCCCTCACCCCGCCACACTCCTACTCTCACCCTGAGCCCCTCCCACACCCTGAGCCCCTCATTCCCAGCCTCAGACAGAGCCCTCAGCCCCTACACCCCTACTCTTGCCCTGAGCCCCTCCCATCCCCCAAACCTCTCATCTGCAGCCATACCCCACAGTCCTCACCCTGCACCCATTCCCTTCGCACCCCCTCCCATCACCAAACCCCAATCCCCTGCCCCAGCCTAGGGCCTGCACCCCAGACCTCATCCCCCACCCAAACTCCCTCCCAGAGCCTTGGGCAGGTGGGGAGAGGAGTTGGGGGGGCAGAGTTTGGGCAGGGGCGGGTTCTGGGCACCACCAAAATTTCTACAAACCTGCCACCCCTGCCCAGGTTCAGTTCCGGGTGCTGCATTACACCTGTACTCAGGGTTGCCCAGTGACTGCTCCTTCCCAATGCTTGTGGGCCCCCAAAGCAGGAAGGGAGCAGGCAAAGCAAAGCCCTGCTCCTCTCTGCAGCCCACAGAACTGGACAGGCATGAGCAGGGAGATCCAGCAACACCAGCCAGAGGGCTGGTGCAACATGAGTTCAGGGTGGGATTTTACCACATGCGTCTTCAAGAGGAAAAGGAAACACCAGTCTCTCCTTCAAGTGCTGTCTGTGTGACTACCAGCTTTTCCTGGAGAAATGGGGTGGCCTGGGGCTGGAAGGCAGATGGCAGCTCAAAGGGCTGGAGACACAGCTGGCAGAGGGATGCAAAGTAGTGGAGAGCCCAAACTTCCAAGTGCCGTGTAGAATGGATGGATCTAACCTTCTCCCAGAGCATGGTTACTTCCTGGGTCAGGGTCCTTCATAGAGTTTCTGCCCCCTGGCCAGGAGAAGTATGTTCACACTGGGGATCAGAACACGGTGGAGAGGAGGTGATGGAAATGGTAGCTTCCTGCATAGCAGATTCATCACAAAACACAACCATACAATCACCGTTCCCTCTAAGCTGTGGGCGTGTGCGCATGCACACAGATCCTAAACCCTGCGCACATGGTGAAACACCACGCACACAAAAATCTGCACAGAAGCACAACAATATGCACAGAAGAAACTTGTTGCACACACGGCCTGTCAAAAATTAGAGGGAACATTGCATGCCATACATCACTCCATGTATGCACTCAGTTTCAAAAGGTCCATGTGAGCAAAATGAGACTGAGGCTCTGTAAACAGCATGTCCTACTTATAGCTGATCAAACGCCTCTATGACGTAGATCAGTCTACCTGGAGTACAAGGTGACCAGGGAGCCCCCAACTCATGTATTACAAAAAAGTGTGATTTCTTCCCGAGGCAACGTATTGATTTGGATTTTCACTGCTTTACAATGAGAGGCCCATCTGGTGTTCTGGCACCCTTGATGATGATCTTTTAAAAATATACTAATAAACAATAAACACCTAATCAAAGTAGGATAACCCAATGACAGACTAAATATAACAAAATCCCCATTTGAGCTGACTAATTGTACTTCTCTCCTTCTGTGGCTCAATTGAGAGACTGTAAATTTAATCCCTATCTGGCAAGGTTTTGCCTGAGGCAGATTTTCCTGTTTTCATTGATGATGGTTATCTTTTCTCTTACTCTTTTCAACTCACAGGACACCTTGCGTTGCACTTTCACATACACCCACATTCTCTTTGTCTCCTTTTAGCTGTTGCTGGGCTCAGTTTGATTGCTGAAAACGAAGATGCCCTCCTGAGACACTTATTTCATGGGTACCAGAAATGGGTCCGACCTGTTGAATACTCCAACGATACAATAAAAGTCCTTTTTGGCTTAAAGATATCTCAGCTTGTGGATGTGGTAAGTAAGCTGTAAGACCTTTAACAAAGAGAAAATCTACACCTGCAAACTCATGTTGTGGTAAACAATTTTTTAATGTTTGTATCATTTTTCATGGCAAATTTTAGGGGACTAGGATCTGGAAGAGCTTAGTTCATTAACCTTTCATCTTATGATACGGGATGCATAATGGAGTTGTCAGATAGTTGCATGTCAATTGTTGGATAGAGATATGACAACTTACCCTCTCCGATCCCGGTCTACCCAATTTCTGCTCCTAGGATGATGTTGCATCTTGCTACTCTGTAACAAGCATGAAAGACCCTCCTCCAATATTGTCTCACTGTTTCTTTGTATTCCCCCTTTGGTCTGTCTGTATCTATCTCTTGTGTTGTGCACAGATTGTAAACTCCTTGGGGCAAGGGAACATTTTTTTATTCTGTGCTTGTATATCACTTAGTGTAATGAGGCTGTAGTCCGTGATTGGGGCTCTTAGATACTATGGGTTGTACAAATAATAAATAGTAATAAAGTGTGCTAGGCACTTCACAAGCAGAGAGTAATAGATAGTCCCTGCTCTGATGAGTTTACCATCTAATAGAAAGACACCCTAGGGGAGGAGAATGGAATAGAGCTTACAAATGAGGTTGCTCTTCATGTTATGAAGTGAATCTTAACGCTGGTTGACATTTTTTGAATTTAAATGAAATTTCTAACGTCTAAATTTTGAAATTAAAAAGAAATTAGGAAAAATTTCATCAAACTTTTCCCAATTTCCTCCTGCCCATTTTCCAACTCTCCTGCTGGCTGATGTTTTTCAATTTTCAAAATTTCAACATATTGAAACTTTAAAAAAAGGGGAAAGTGAATTAAAAAAATCCCCCTTCTTTTTCAACCAGTTTAATGAAATATCACCACCAGCAACCCTCAAATGTTTGTAATATAAATGTTGGGCACAACTCATGTCTGGACATAGCTGGCAACCAAAATAAGAAGCCAGACGTGAAGCAGAAACTATTTTTTCACCCTAAAAATTATTTTTCTGCCCATCCATAAAACACTGTAATGCATGAGTGAGTTTGCAGCATGCTGGAGAACCTCAACATGCATGGGAGCATGGTTCCAGAATTACTTCTTCATAGTAGCTGCTGGAAAGTCCAATAAATGAGCCCACTGGATCACATTTATGCCCACATCTTCTTAGACACCCTCATTCTCCACCTACATCCCCATGGTCCTATAGTAAGGTGCAGTTGTGCAAGGGAGTTCTCTGATTTATTCCCTCTCAGCACAGAGCGTTGCACTAGTACTTAACTCCACTGGCCTAGGCCCACTTGCTTGTACTAGAATCTAAAATAAAGGTAGTTCAGACTGTGGCTAATTTTTTCCTCTCCCGCTATTTCAAAGTAAGCAGCACAGTCCACAAAACCCTTTGCTTTCTAAAGCTGGTGTTCATGCACATTTTGCTTCAATTTCTGTAGAAGAAAATTCTTTCCCAGAGTTGCATTCATGTGTTACTAGGAGCCTCCAGGCAGTGCTTTCATTGACTTCAGTGGGAGTTGTGTGGGCTAACAGGCGGCAGGACTGGGCGCTAAGTGCTCAGGCTGCAATCCCATTGAAATTCAATGAGTTGGGCATCTGATTCCTGGGAGCGTTTTGAAAACCCCAACTGACGTTTTTAAAAGTGCTCAGAATCCAGGGGCTTCTGACGTGACCTAGGTGCTGAGCTCTTTGGAAAATCGGACCCTAATGCTATAGGCCGATCCTCAGATTTCTAAAGGAACTGAAATCCATTCAGTCAGACATCAGTATGGGAACCATTTATTTGGATATTTTTAATTTCAATTTTCTTGTCTCCCTAGGATGAAAAGAATCAGCTGATGACAACAAATGTGTGGCTGAAACAGGTAAAACAGACCATTACATTACATGTTGAGTTGTTTGGTGGCAGGGGGGAATACCAGGCAAGCAGACCTCGCTCCCCCCTCTCTGTGGTTGGAGTCACCATTTGATCAGGAGAGTAATGGGGTTCTTTCATGTCTGAAAGAACCCTCCAGGACTGAATAAGGCCAGCGTGGCTCTTCATGAAGTTTTTGTTTCCCTGCTCTGATACTCAAATCACCCCAAAGGGGCTTCTGAGGAATGGAGATTCTGGACCACATGGCTACCTGTTTTCCAGCATTTGACTACAAGCTGTCAAACACAATCATGTGATCTTCCTTTTCCGTCCTGCACTTATGCCAGCTGTCTGTTAGAACAACCTCCTACTCCGCTGCAGAGAAGTGAGCCAGGCCTCAGTGCGCAGTGTAGCAGCCCTGAGGGACTATTATGTCTCACTCTTAGAAGGCATTAGAGTGGTTGGCACTATCCTCTAGTCATGGGGTCCCTTTCTCAGCAAGATCAAACAGAGGTGCAAAAAACAAACAGTCGACAGATTTCCAAAGTAATTACAATGCCTGGGATTTAAATTCATCATCCTTTTATAATGTGCTTGTCCTGGGGGGACATTGTTCACTGGAATGACATATCATATACAAACTGAACCAAAGAGCTATACGTTTGACCATTATTTACCCACCTTCTTCTTAACTCCCAAAGAACTTAGTGTTTTGTTTAGTCAATTTTATTAGTTCATAGACATCATGACAATTATAACAATTATAACTATCCAATCCATTACTGCATCCTGTAAACGTAAGTAGCACCTGGCTCCAGTGAGAGTTAAAGCAGCTGTGTGATTAGTGTAATTTAAGCAACTGGCATAGAGTTTCAGATAGAAACTCTATAACTTTCAGTTGTTTGATTTGCTGGTTGAGGACTATTTGATGGCTGAAGAATTTCTAAGTGCTAATGTTGAGATTGAAAACAATAAAGATCAAGTAACAGCCTTCAAATAGAATGAGTGGGGGCAAACAACCTAATTAGTTTTAAGACAGAGCTTGATAAATTTATGAACAGGATTATATGATAGGGTTGCCTACAGTAGCATTGGTCTGGACTTAATGACCCAGGAAGTCCCTTCCTGGCCTATGTCCTATGTTCCTAAGTGAACAGAAAATAAGTGGGAAGTCTAGTCGAGTTTTCACACATGGACACTTTGGGCATCTCATTCCAACAGTTGGATGCTCAGGTTGGCACATAGGTGCACAAACTGGACATTCAGATGCCTAGTCTGATGTGAGCATCCAATGTTGGGATTTGGATATCCCATTACGGTTTGAAAGATTGGGATCCACATGTCATACGATCCGTGGCTGTTGCTATTAGTTTTAAAAAGGGCAAAATGAGATCACAAATTTTAACAGGGCAAATGTTGATAACATTAAGGTAAATTAAATGAACAATTGGGATGGTGGAAAGTGGAAAAAAAAATCAATCAGATACTATACTGCTGAGGTTACAGGGACTGCAAACATGTGGATAGGTAGTTCTGGCCAACACATTAGACGTCGGGGCAAAGGGTTATTATAAAGGCACCATTTCTGGTCAGTTTTGACTCTCCTTTGCTGAGCTAGTTCTTGGGTGTATCAGGGGAGTTGCTTAGACTTCTTGTTGAAAATTGTGACATAAGAAGATATGGATTCTGACGTGGTCTGTCTGGTTAAACGCTGCAAGGACATTCTGTGACTTTTAGTTGACTGCCAGAAAGGTATCGGTGAGAAGAACCAGGATTCAGGAAGGAGTGTGAAAGTCAGGCACTTTTTGGTAAAATTATAGAAATTAGAGCTGGAAAAGGCCAACAGATCATCTTGTCTGTAACCTTCATTTGTATCAGGCCTGGGTCCAGTGGGCAATAACAATAGCATTTATAGCTCTTATGTGCTTGGGCTAACTTTCTGAGTGTCGGGTGCTGCCTCTAGAGAATCATACACGTGATGTAACAAGCAAAATACAACCCCTAGAAGTAGGGATCAGACACAGCCCTCTGACAGATCAAAGGGAAGAGAATGGATCTGGGGTCACAGAGGGGCTTTAAAATGACAGTGGCAAAGAGCAATGTGCCTCCCACATCACATTTATCCTAGGTGTTTGCAGCAGGTGCCAGGAGAGTCTATACCACTGAAAAATCCCTGGTGTTCATGTGAGCTGTTCACCGTGCAAGTCCCCAGGCTGTCTGTATTAGCACTTGTACCACTCTATCTCTAGATCTCATCTGTACAATGGGGGTAGTAACACTTCTCCCGCCCTCTTTTGGGTAGAAAGTTGGCTAGATTGTCAGGCTCAACGGGTAGTGATCAATGGCTCCATGTCTAGTTGGCAGCCGGTGTCAAGTGGAGTGCCCCAGGGGTTGGTCCTGGGGCCGGTTTTGTTCAATATCTTCATAAATGATCTGGAGGATGGTGTGGATTGCACTCTCAGCAAATTTGCGGATGATACTAAACTGGGAGGAGTGGTAGATACGCTGGAGGGTAGGGATAGGATACAGAGGGACCTAGACAAATTGGAGGATTGGGCCAAAAGAAATCTGATGAGTTTCAATAAGGATAAGTGCAGGGTCCTGCACTTAGGATGGAAGAACCCAATGCACAGCTACAGACTAGGGACCGAATGGCTAGGCAGCAGTTCTGCAGAAAAGGACCTAGGGGTGACAGTGGACGAGAAGCTGGATATGAGCCAGCAGTGTGCCCTTGTTGCCAAGAAGGCCAATGGCATTTTGGGATGTATAAGTAGGGGCATAGCGAGCAGATCGAGGGACGTGATCGTCCCCCTCTATTCAACATTGGTGAGGCCTCATCTGGAGTACTGTGTCCAGTTTTGGGCCCCACATTACAAGAAGGATGTGGAGAAATTGGAGAGAGTCCAGCGAAGGGCAACAAAAATGATTAGGGGACTGGAACACATGACTTATGAGGAGAGGCTGAGGGAACTGGGATTGTTTAGTCTGCAGAAGAGAAGAATGAGGGGGGATTTGATAGCTGCTTTCAACTACCTGAGAGGTAGTTCCAGAGAGGATGGTTCTAGACTATTCTCAGTGGTGGAAGAGGACAGGACAAGGAGTAATGGTCTCAAATTGCAGTGGGGGAGGTTTAGGTTGGATATTAGGAAAAACTTTTTCACTAGGAGGGTGGTGAAACACTGGAATGCGTTGCCTAGGGAGGTGGTGGAATCTCCTTCCTTAGAAGTTTTTAAGGTCAGGCTTGACAAAGCCCTGGCTGGGATGATTTAATTGGGTATGGGTCCTGCTTTTGAGCAGGGGGTTGGACTAGATGACCTCCTGAGGTCCCTTCCAACCCTGATATTCTATGATTCTATGATTCATGATGCACAACTGTTCACATGGGCAGCAGGTATTAAAGGCCAGGGGAGGCTGAGCCTCCCCAAACAGCTCTGTGTTTGGGGAGGCTCCACCTCCAGGGAAGCAGGAGGGGGCCCTGGGTGGCTGGAGGGTGAGTTGGGGCAGCAGCCTCCCAGCTGCGCCAGGAGGAGGGGTGGGGCAGAACCTGGGGGGAGAAGACGACAGTCCGGCTGCGGCAACAATCGCTGCAGCTTTGTATCCAGGAGCAAAACTTTTTGCATCCATGTGGGGCGGGGGACTGGGTTGGGGATGACTGCGGGAAGCCGGGCTGGGAAGGGAAAATGGGGGGCAGGCAGAGGTAGGCAAGGACAGCTTGGGGGGAAGGAGCCAAGCGGAGGGGTGGGGGCGCAGAGCTGGGAAGACCGCTGAGGGGAAGACTCAAGATTGGACTCAGGATCCAGCCACTGCTGGTCCAACATCTGCAGCAAAGGCACCGGCAATCCCCGCTGGGTGCCGGCCAGGCTTCGTTGGGGTCTGCCAGGGAGGAGAAGGGCAGGGTAGGTCTGGGGGAAGGGAGGGTGTTTTGGTGACAGCACTGGCCTGGTGGGGGCATATTTTAGGCTATTTTGTGTAACCCTCCTGCCCGTCAGAGTTGGCAGCAACAAGGACTGGGTTCAGTATCTAGGGGTTCCGTTTCAATAACGACGCAAACCGGCTCGAGCCCCCACCCAATGACCTGGGACAATTACATACCACCCCCCTGGGCGCCTCTAAGAGGCGATACTTCCCCTCTCGCAAGCACAGAGTCCAAGTGTAGCAAAAGCCTTTTAATAAAGGAGGGAAACTATGCAGCATTATGTTGGGGAAACACCACAAACAGGATTCATATCACCAACCATGAGCAAAAGACCCACACCCAAGTAAGTCTGGCAGTGTCCTTTTCCACTCAGGGTCTTGAGTCCAGCAACCCAATAGTCACCCCCCCACACAGTTTCTGTCCTTGGTCAGTGCAGCCCCCCAGGGTTCAGAAGCTCATCTGCAGAATTTACCTCCCAGCCTTGGTGGAAGTGGAGGGAGGTATGGGGGGCATCTTACATGCTCTGCTGCTCGGGTCTACGGCCTAGTGCCACGCCTCTCCATGGGGTTCTGCTGCAGTCTTCACCACCAGCCGCCCGGCTATCTGCTCCGCTCTCCATGCTAGCCATCCTGCTGTCCGCTCACCAACTTGTCTTCAGCCCCCCCCCCTTAACACAGCTCTCAACAACTTCAGCTCTTTCGTGATTTCAGCTTTCAGTGATTTTTAGCTGGTAATAGGGGAGCCTCAGTGCTGGTGCACCACTAGCCCAAAGTCAGTCTAATGCTTAGACCTAGGTATCAGCGATTTCAGCTCTGCAGCATGTAACAAGACTCCTAATGCAGCCAAAGTTAGCTCTGTCGTTACACCATGGAGAGGGGTCAAAGTGGTGTTTAGGACCCTCAGAAGGGGACTCACATACCCCAGCCTCTCTCAAGTCACTGGGACCCATGTCCCTTGCCTAGCGAGTGTTACTTAGTTGAGGGCAAGTCCCTCTGTCATAAAATACCAAGTACAGTTCTACTGTCCTTGATTCAGATAACCAGGATAACAACCCTTTATTACTCCTGCCCCAATAATAGAGAGACTGGGGATCC